CGGAGCTGTATTTTTTGTGATAAAAAAGTCAGACTTGTCATAGACAGCGTGTTAAAGTACTAAAGGGTTTATTATTCTTGGTGTATAATACCCTATGACGTAAAAAAAGAAGGACTAATAACGGTCTACAATTATCAAGACAAGAGCTCTGAACATATGCTATTGGACATATGCTTGAGAGAAGAAGGAGAACATTTGAAAGTTGCTCCCGATCAAGCATAGTTAGAAGAAAACGTTCATTTGGAGTCAGAAACAGCTCTGTGGTAGTGTTGGCGAGAAACCAGGTCATCTACCAAAAAACGTTTGGATCTGTTAATTTTTTATTTAAGGGGGAAACATTTTTCTGTCAGTTTCACCCCTGAGGGAAAACCCTCTATCGGAGGTGAGACTCACCAGTAAAATCTTTCATGGAAAGATGGTGAAGGTATTTTTACCTAAATAATAACGCCCAAGTTTTACATCGCTACTATCTATGTAGCCCATGCAGTGGTTTACCAAAAGTACAAAACCAGTTTAACATAATTTTTACATTGTTATTAAAGAAAAAGGAAGTATTTGTAACAATTCTAGTTTTATTCCTGTGGCTTTCAATTATTGTTATCAGATGACATTCTTCGGTCGCCGTAAAGTAAAGTAGAAATGGAAAATGCTGTAGTAAATGAAGCTACAGAAGTGACGATTTAAGGGTATGTTGTTCAAAAACTCACATTGAGTACAAGACAGTTGGCTATATTATTTGGAATTAAGAGAAGTAGCATTCAGAAGATATTGAAAAAACACAAGTTTCATCCCTACAAAATATATTTGGTAAAAGAACTTAACAAAGACGATTTTGATAGGCGATTACAATTTTGTAAAATTATGACTGAACGGGCAATACATGATCAGCAATTTCTTTTCAACGTGTGTTTATTAGACGAATGCACTTTTTTTTTCTAAATGGTACGGTAAATCGTCACAACTGTTTTTATTGATCCGATTCAAATCCCAGAATATTTCTTGCAACATCCTGAAAAACTGAATGTTTGGGCTGGCATTTTTGGTAACCGTAACCTGAAGTTTACCCGCAGAAATGTATCTGGAATTATTAGAAAGTGCAATTTATCCAGCATTACTAGAATTGATTGAGAATGACGATCAGTAAATAGCAAACAACTTAATATTCCACTGTTCGTCAGTATTTGAATCAAACAGTTCCAGGTCAATGGATCGGAAAAAGAGGAAGTATTGAGTTGCCTTCATGGTCTCCGGATCTAAGCCCGTTAAATTTTTTTATGGGGCCACTTAAAAACATCAGCTATTATTCGACCCCTCTTTCCATTTTAGATTTTAGGGGTAAGTTTCACTCCCGCTAGAGGGTTTCCGTTCAGAGGGTGAAACTAGCAAATAGCCACCCTGTATATATACAAATCTCCATTATACAGGGTAGCTGTTAAAGATGGAACCAAACCTATAGAGCTTAAACGGTTCAACATACAAAACCTAAAATTTCAGAATTTTAACTAAATATATTTGCGCATATTTTAGCCCAAAAATTATTTTTTTATAATTACAAAATTTTAAGCATGGCCGCCATCTTGATTTTTTTAAATAGCAATTAGGTATGTATGACCAAATTCAAAAAGGTTTCTTAAATGCTAAAATTTGATAAGTACAATTTTTTAGCAGTACAGTACCATCAGTAAAAATAGTCTCATAATATTTTATAATAACTCCTAAAAAGTATAGAACAGCATCATCTCTAGAAAGTGCTTTATCGGCACTAGGAACGATATATATGCTGCCACTGTTCTAAACGTTTAGTATCCTATAAAAAACATTTACAATGACACAATTGGGGTCCAAAAAAAAAATAACAGTACTTAGCAACTCTTTATCTAACATTAAAACTCTATAAAGAATAAATTTTCTTTTCTAGTAAGTTAAATTTAATGCATAATTATTGTTGTTTATAAGTCAGCATCTATGACTGTAAAATTTTATATTATAGAAACTTGTAATAAAATGAACTACACTTCGAAAAATACATATTGTGACTAATTTACAATAAATATTAGATTTAGACATGAATACATTATTTTACTTACATTAGAAGCTTTAAAAAGACATTGAATTGATTTCTTCTTGTGTTTTCTTTAGTTTTACATTTGATTTTTATCCTGTTTTACAATCTAGAACGACGTAAATCTTGCTTTCATGTTTTTTGTCACTCATGTTATTTTTTTCACATTATTTTGATTCTTTTTTCATTTTACATTGACTTACATAGAAAATTGAGTACGGTGTCATTAGACATGCCAACTACAGTCAATTTCGCGAACTTTATAAAAAGAAGGACGGAAATTTGAAATTTGACCATTGCCGGTTTGCCTCCTTCTCTCTAGTCTTCATAGTCGTACCATTGATCGTATTAGTGTAGCAACATCAGTAGTGGCATCTGTCTACTGTCACACTCTAAATTTAACTAGATACTTTAAAAAAAACAAATAAATCATTTTTCATAAATTCCTACGACAAATAACACCCAAACATAGAAAAACAAACAACATTTATAACATTGTAACATACAGAACATAAGTAACATATAACAAACTGAAACACGTCATACATATCTAGATGCAACTAGCATTTTGCACCGGACAGTCCACATGTTATGTGCTAAAGGAGCCACGTGATAGAGGACCCGATCTTTCACATAATTATATATTTGGTATATAATAACTAAAGCACCGTAATTTTATTCTACTATTCTACCTAGAACAGCGTGACGTCCTGGAAGAAAACAACAGTAAAATGGTATTAAATAATATTATTCAAGTAGAAAGAAGCTATTAGATACCCATCAATTACTAATGCAAAAAAACACTGTTATAAACTATACAAAACAGGAACCAACACAAAACGATGCAAACGCAAAAACTTCAAATAATAACAAACATACATATCCATAAGAAAATCTAACATAAAACCTCATATTGACACATACACTTCAAAAAAGGGGGAAAGTATTGTAGTGATTCAGTTGCACTAGGTACATATCTTCCTGCCTTAACACGTCACACTCCTTGTCATCATTTAGGCAACCCTTCAGTACGTGATAATGCTAATATAATGACAAGGGTTAAACTCATCTCCTTCGCAACTTTGTTTACCAAGAATCTATTTTATTGATACTGCATTATGACTTTTAATTAATAATAAATATATGTTACATACATCTCCAAACAATTTGATTGCGTGTGCCACCGACTGCTGCTGCAGAAGCTTTATCATCATGGTATTAAAGATATTGCTCTGAAATCGATGGAATCAGTATACGTCCGTTTATGATCATTAATTTGACAACTACATATCGATACCCAGACGACGTCTGTTCTTGGGCTTAATTTTAGGTTTAGTATTATTTTGACGTCCAGTGGACGTCCATCTTAGGTCATTATTTATTTAGCCTACCAGATAATATCCATCTATATACACTTTTTCTTTATCTTTTTTTTTTTTTAATTGAATTTGTCATTAAAAATTGACAAATATCTACTACATTTCATTATATCAGCGGAAGTTTGAAATCTTATTTCATTATAACCATATCTAGTAAATAGTTTTCACGTAGAGATCATCTAGCTAGTGGTTGTAAGTCTAAAACGATAATGGACGTGTCGTGAGTTCGATGCGGTTGCAAAAATAATAAATATTTAATTAATAATATAAAATAGTGTGTGGTGAGTCTCAATGAAATATAATCCAGGAATGGACGTTTTTTAAATGTCCGGCGTTCAACGTCCAAATATAATCCAGAATTGGACGTTTACTGAATGGTCAAAAGTGTGCTATTTGTATACTTGACTGTGCCTCCATTGGAAGTCGGAAGTCCAGAAAAACTTATTTTAGGACGTCCAGATATCCAAAATTATATATCGATTGTACGTCCACAGGAGAAGGTAATAGTTTGTTAAGAAGACTACATATTTACGTTTACTGGGTATTAAGAGGGGTGCAGCTCAAGGGTCAGTTTTTGGGGCGTTATTTATTTAAATTTATGTAAATTATATACAATTTCTTGATATTTCAACAGACGATACAACACTCTTGTGCCATGTTAAAGACTTGAGCAAACTGAAATTGAAACAGTCGGCTTTTTAAAACATACTACCAAATTTAAAGTTGGATTCGATAGAATGTCACCAACATTTGAAGTGAATGATTTAAATAAAAAGTTAGTCTCTGGTTATTTTGCGATTATATCTATCAGGGTGCCTATTCCTGAAATTGAGTAAAATATTTTCACTTTTTACTCCCTCGTAATAATTGATATCAAATCTACCAAAATTGATAGACGATTTTCTCTCAAAAAATTTGTTTGTACTCATGTTTTTAAAATGATTAATTAGGAAGAGTTTAAAGTCCATTTAGAAGGATTTCCAAACTTGAATTGCTAAGAAATTCAAATTTATAGTTTAATGAACATTAAGCATTTTAAAATGTTTATGCATGAAAAGGTCAAAATTATGAAGTTAATCAAAACTCGATATAAAATGCCAGCAGTATTATTTACCGTCAAAAGTTCGTAGTCGAATGGTCTTAAACGATCTGGCAACTTTGTATTCATTTTCACCATCGACTTTCTCCTTCCCATCAAATTTTTACGGTAATTTCATTTTTTATTTTAAAAACAGCCAACTTAAAAATGTAAAAACAAAGATGCTTATGCAAATAATGGACCTGCCTAGATTTTCTGCAGATTTGGCTTTGTGTATACCTAAATCTACCTTGATCAAAGAATCAGTAATTTACAACGGCATTAAAATGTTTACTGATAATGTTTGTACATAAAATAATGTATCTTTGACAATAAACATAATAGTCTCTTTCTATTTAAATTAAATAAATAATTTGTAGCATAAAACCCGCACCTCATTATTAATGCAGTGTTTTGTCTTGGATACGTTGTATACGAACTTTTAAAATTTGAATGCCTTGATGATGATTTGTTGTTTCAGGTGAACATCAGCAACACGTGGGTGCTCCCAGAAGAGGGCTTCCCGGTGTTTTACCGCTATTTCCGGGACAGAATCTCGTGGTACGAGGCGGACGCCGTTTGTCAATTTCATCACAGCTACTTAGTGACCGGTAAGTACCCTCCATTCATCTTTAAGCCCTTCGGAAAAATAGGAAATTTTTCTTTTACTTTCCGAACTCGCCCGTCGTTCTTTTATCTCCACCGAACGCCGATTGAAAGGATGTTTAAAACGATCGCTTTCTTTGCATTTAAAAGCAGATTTAAAAAGGACCTGATAAATTAAAGTTCAACCATTTATTAGTGACTAAAAAGACGAAGGAAAATGGAAATGTATGTCAAATTTATAAATGCGTCAAAAATTCTATGAAAAATAAACGAAGCACATGTAGTCAAGAAAATTATAAGCAACCATCTTCAGATTTTTGTATAAATTACCTATTCGCGATTCAAATTAGTTTTTACGCGCCTGTCATTTGTTACCTATACGTAGGATGTTTGTTTATTTACATGTGTTTGTTTTAGGGGGATTTTGTATTTGTGATTTTTTTAACTGTTTTTAGATAATATTCTCATTGTAATAGTGTTTTTGAGTTTCATTTAGGGTTAATTTAAGTTTATTTCTTCATAAATATAATATTTATCATGTGAATGACTTAATTTATTGGAAATATTCACCTATTGGTTACTACAAGAACATCTAGAAATATCTATTTACTAAACCCAGGACATGTTTTATTATGTGATTTAAAGGACATTTCAAGTACCAAACGTTTATTATTGATGAACTTATTTAAAAATCTTACTATCCTTATTCTTATATTAAGAAATTAATTGTGTAGTACTTTGTATACATGTAAATGGTAATAAAACCGTCACAAATCAGATTACAGTTTGATTCTGAACAAAGTTTTGCAAAATTTCAATATCGTGAATTTGTAGATATCCATTTATCATAAGAAATAAAATGTTAAGACTTGCACTTGGAAAATAATGAATACTTCAGTTTTGATTTTGACATTAACACCATATAGATTGCAATTTGCTGGGGACTTTTTCGCAGATTTCATTTTTAATATAAACACTATCACAAACTATAGGAAATAAACAAATTTAAAGCTAAAAAGTAAGAAAAAACTTGAATTGTAATTGATACAAATTAAAATGTAAACAATGAACACGAACGTCAATGTTGCCAAATCAGTAACTAATTTTAAAACAAAATTAATAAATAAACTGAAATTTAAAAAAAAATCAATATAATAAATCAGTTTTATAAAAAAATTCTTAAATAAATATAAAGTATGATTACATATTACTAGACACAAATTTTGATTCTTAAATTAAAGGTCTTATCCACTTCTTCAAGAGCTAAAATCCGACGACGTACCGAAATTTTGCTACTTCTGGCAACACTTGAATCGCGAATAGTGCCATAAATTTATTCATGTACACAATACAAGAAACAAAATTATTTCTATGTCCCTTACCGACATTTAAAAATATCTTAGTTGTGGTATTCTCGAGATTCAGAAACTTGACTTTTGCTTCTATTAAAAGAGAGAAAAAAATAAGAGAACATCTACAATACAGATAATTCCACTCCAATTCTAAAGAAAAATAATTTTACTAACTACCTACAAAAAATAAATATTAAAGCAAATAAAAAACGCGATTTACCTCCAAATTTGAGCGACGTAAAACAAATGAAGGGTACAAGGGAAAAAAGATTAATGTCCAAAAATTCTGATAAAATATTGAAACCAATCAAAATAGATGAGAGTAGCAAGCCACAGCGAATTTAAATTTTACCGCACAGGGGAAAAACATGAACGTCCCGGCGAACTGGGGAAAAAAGATGAATGTCCATAAATATGGCAATCGCGCATTGTTTTGTTTTTCTCTCGATGCTTTTTTCCATTTTATTACGCGCCATTTTACTATTTCAGTAGTTCATGTGCCGTTTAATCGACCACCTGCTGTATGCTGTTTTTTTTTCTCGTGCCACGTGCAATCGAAATATTTCTCAATGAGTGACGAAGACATTGAAGTTGATAGTGCAGTTTTTCCTCTAAAGTCTAAGAAACGGACGTATGAAGAACGTTGCTAAGTTATTAAAACTACGAAGCCATGAAACAGGCCCAAAGTTGTAATTTTACTAGATTTAAGTGTTTTGAAAATGTCACCGAAGGAGAGAGGTTGCAAATAATTAAACGATTTAATGAACTTAAAGATCATGATGAACAAAATTTGTATCTGAGTGGCTTAATTTCACATGTCCCCGTTAAACGACACTGAAGTAGAAAGAATTATGATGAAGATGTTGAATATCACTCATATTCGTACGCATACAAAATTCGTGTTCAACGAGATAATACAGCTATAATAGAAGTGCCAATATGTTATAAAGCTATGCTTTCTATGCATGGAATATCTGCGAAACGGCTTCAGAATATCTAGCAGCAGTTAACCACTATTGGACATGTTAAACACGATGGGCGAGGTCAACATTCCAATCGAAAAAATCGTCTCCCAGATGAAATATCCACTGCCATTTTTGATCATATTGCTTCGTTTACAGTCTCCATGACTCCCAACGTGTATATTTACCGGAAGATCTTAATGTGGAAAAGATGTTCAACATGTTTTGGCAACAAAATCCTGAGAAAAAGGTTTCCTACGAGACTTACAGAACTATATTTGTAACTAAATTCAACATAAGTTTTGGCTATCCACGAACGGATACCTGCAGTTCCTGTGATGAGCACAAGGCCAAGAAGATGAGCATCGAAAACGATCCTTCACAAAAAGCCTTTTTATCTCGTTTGGAAACAGAATATAAACGGCATCTTCGAAAAGCTGAAACGTTTTACAAAAGAAAGAGAGCAGCCCGTTTAAATTCTCAAAAAAGAGGCAATAGCAATGAATTTTCAAAAAATTTTGCCAGTGCCCAATATCAGAAATGATGTATATTATAAACGCCAACTTTCTTTTTATTTCCTTTAATATCCTTGTGCTGTCTAACTCTGCTTCATATTTTTATACTTACACGGAAACTGCTGGAAAGAAGGGCTCAGATAAAGTAGCATCTGTGGAAAGCCTACTCTTCTTTATTCACATAGAACAGAGGTATCTACAATCCTTTTTTACGATTAATTGGTAAAAATAGAATACAAAAAGTACAAAATAGTTGTTTAAGGAAGATCTATTGTATAAGTATTTAAGTGCTTGTCCAGCATTATCAAACCGTACAGCTCGAGTATTTAAATTGTTCCCTAAATAGCCGAGATAATCCTTGCGCTAGTTCCAACACTGTATCCTGGCATTCCTGGCAATGAATCCTTTCTCAATTTAGAGGCTTTTTCGTCGGGTCGTGTAACAAGAAATGAATTACAGAGAAATAAATAATTCAGTGCTAGACTAAGAGGTTGTTTCAGTGAGTTCGGGGATGGAGATCGAGAGAAGGGACGAACGAAGAGGACAGACAGACACGGGCCAGGCGGGGCGCAGTTGTTGGTGTAGCATACCATAGCATTTGGCATAGCAGAGCACGGGATAATAAATTAGCGTTGTTAGCCAGCCGATAGGTCGTCATTTGAACAGTCAGTCGAACGGGTCGTCGGTGTGTGTCGACTCGACTTGGGGGTTTCGCTAACTAAACTAAAAGCTATCGATCCCGCCGCCCTCGTCCCGCCACGTCCACATCCGTTGTCGTCGTGCGAGTCGCCTACCGCCTATACCGCCGCCCGATTGCTGTTTACCAAAGGGAACGGTAGCCAGCGATGCTCCGGGCGTCTTTCCCGCCAAACAAATTTCGCCAACTTATCGAGTTACCTAAAATTATACCTTATTATTAATAATAATGCATCACCCAATGACAGAAAATAAATTATTTACATGATCTTTAAATAATGTGTCACAATGTACGTACCCTCTCTCTGAATATAGGGGGTGACTAAGTCACAATCTTTGTGATCTGTAATCTGTCACAATTTGGGGTTTAATAACAGACATGGGACTAGTTGTATTCCAGGGGTTTAAACGATACGTATATTAATACTGGCCTCAATAGTGTAAAATGTATATTACTCCAAACTTAGATATGTAGCCTTTAACTGTATAAGGGTTCTACTCTTGATATCATAAGATGTCATAAGAAACTGCAGACTCCCAAATAGTTGCCATGAATTTGAGTTGGTGTCATTCCTTTTTTCTGGAGGTGTTTTATGATGGCTCTGTATTCAGCATCCATTTTTTGAACAATTACGACACAGTTCAAGAATTAGCAACAGCACAACAAAGCTTTGAGATACAAAGTTGATATTTTGTAGATATAATCTAATAATCTAAAAAAGTCAGTTAAAAAACTATCAAAAACATTAATACTTAAAAATAGATCAGGAGCGGAGCATGTAGTTTGAAATACAAGTTGGATCGTCATTTTAAATTAATAAATATATTTACATTTAGGCCCATATTTATAAACCTTGAAAGGAAATCGAAGTTTGGTTATATCGCGGAATTTAGAGATGGGCATGGATCTCATATCACGTGTAGATGACCGACTGGAAATTTCTCAGGAAGAGTAACATCCCTCCAATTTACCACCAACCTCCTCGTTTTGATAAAGGTCCTTATTTGAAGGCCAATTCTGACCTAATCCACATACTATTTATCAATCATGTCTTGCCAACCTTCCTGTTTATTCATTCTTTAAGTCTTAGTCAAGCCCCTTAAAATATAAGACTTATAATCCCTACAAGAATTTTTTGGAAAGCTTAGTTGGCCAAATAGTTCTAGTACATACATTTCAAATTAATGTTTCATTTATTTCATTGTTCTTCGGTTTTTCACTTGTAATTCATTTAGTAAATAGTAGTTTTTTCCTTATTTAAAAAAATGTTTTATCTTCAGTAAATATGGGCTTATGGGTCTTATGGTTCCTGGTTTCATCAAATTATAAAAATATTAAAAATTATAATTAATGTAAATATTACTGTTACTTTTATTTATAACTATTTTATAGTACTTACTTGTACGTACCTACTTAAAGCGAGCCTGAATATGAGTTACAGACCTAACGTTTTCCAGATTTATAGATTCCAAGTACTGGTCACATATTTGATACTTTCATATAAATACAGCATCCTCATTATTGTTCCTTCAATTTTATACCTTCCTCCAACATGGTGAACTGCTACTATACCTTACCACTACCAGATTTTTCTATTCACTCATTATAGAAAGAAATACGTTTGACTTCTTTAGCTTCGACATTTTTTTTATCTATCTCACACTCCACCTCCATTTTGATGAACTCATTACTATCCATAACACATTGTTCTGTGAATCCATCAATATATTGTGGTCTGTTTTGAATTCTTTATTTTTAAAATAACCCCATAAACAGAGGAGTTAAATCTGACGACCTAGGTAGTTATTCCATTGATCCTCTTCACCCAAGATAGCATAGCGTGGGGAAGCACCATCTTGCTGCAGTCGCAAATAATTGAAAATAAAAATCTTACGAAATATTAGAATTATTCCTTTCATTTATTTCCATACTGTATATTAAAATCATCACTCGAAATATTTCTCCCTATTTTGGAAATACGAAAGCTTTTGAAGAAAATATATTAAAACCGGCATTTAAATAAAGCAAAAGGAAGAGAAGTCTTACAAATATGTCTTAATAAAGTCTTGGCTGTCCATATTTTGTATAGATATAGAAAGAGGCTGGAAGCGTGGAGCGTTATTGGAAAAGGCAGTAATCTCGGCACAAAAGCGGCAAAGCACCCGAAAGCACCGAAGCCAAAAGGCCGAAATTAATCCCAATCCGACACGTATCCGCTACCATAAAAATATTCTCTACTAAATTTCCAACCGAATGTTTCCGCATCCCCGGGAAATAAACAGTGAGGGAGCGGAAAAATTCCGAAGCAAAAGTAGGTAATAGAAAACTTTTTTTATGGCCTAAAAAGTATTACCCTTTTTTCTGCATTGATCTTCCGCCTTCCCCTCATTTTCTTGATTATCATAATGGATCACATTATGATGGTTAGGGGGATTTCCCAAAGCGCCACGGTAATTAATAATAATAGCTGTCCCTTCCCTGCACAAGCTGTATCGTTTCTGGGTTAAAATTCATACGTAAGGGGGTGAATTATTACCATCATAATAATAGCTTTATTGGTCATCAGTTTCCCATTTACAGGACAATATTCTCAATATAACAATATTAAAAGTGTTATCTAAACATAAAATTATTAAATTACAAAAGAAATTCTACTTATAGGTTGTGATGTAACACGAAAAGTAAATAGAAGTAGCTAAATAAAAACTATAATAGAAAACAAATAAATATTGAGAAAAAGTTAAGAAAATACTAAAGAAAACAAAAATTCTTACAAAAATAAAACAAAGAGAATGCAATATAATATAATATACTTAAGTATTACATTATTTCGTTAAGGAAAGTAACTGCATTTTTTAATTAGTTCACCAAGTAAACAATAAAAAATGTCGCAATGACAACTAATTTTATAGTAATTGTTACACATTACATATAAGGGTGATTTTAACATCAAGTTGGTTTTTGCCATATGGCATTGGTTCTAGAATTAGACGGGGTATATTAAATTTAATTTGTGACCAAATATCACTACAATATAGAAAGATAAGCGAGGATGTGTTCCTTCTTGGGCTCAGGCTATTAATATCGAATTGGTTACACAACTCCACATAATCACAACCACGTTCGGGATATCTCAATCAATTTTGAAAACTAGGTATTTTAAAAATTTTCTTTGAACCGTTTCTATATCCAGAACGTAATAGTTGTAATAAGGATTCCAGATCAATATTCCAGCTTAGAACGCACGTGGGTACCAAATAATAATTTAAGGGGTGTTACATTTGAAAATTGCTTGCAGTTTCTAATAATAAATTCATACATTCTAAAAGCTTCGGAAATTTCGACTTGAACATGATTTGAGAAGGTTAATTTGGCATCAAAAATGTCACTTAAGTCCCTAATACTAGAACATCTCTCCAACTCATTTTATCCAACCGAATATAAGAATTGAATATTTTCTCTTTTCCTAGATTAAGTAACTATCTTACATTTTTGAGCATATAGATATAACATATAGATGTATCAGTTCGAATTTCTCTGGAGCTCATTGCAGTGATCTTTATTTTTAATACTTGAGAAAATCTTTAAATCCTCCGCAAAACACAATTTATTACAACTAATTTCATTGTATAAATCATAAATAAATATTAAAAATAGTAAAGGTCCAAGATTTGAACTGTGTGATACTCCAGATGTAACCGCAATTGATTCTGATTTAAATCCATTGTAAGTAACGAATTGTGTCCTATTTGTTAAATATGACTTGAATAAAGCTAAAGTGCTGTTAGAAAAACCAGTTTCTGAAAGTTTTGAAATTAAGAAGCTATGCTTAACTCTATAAAATGCCTTCGAGAAATTGGTATATATCACATCCACCTGTCCTTGGTCATCTAATACATCTGCAATAAATTGGGTAATCACAGTTAAATTTGTTACCGTTGACCGTTTGTCTATAAACCCATGCTGATAATATGGGGAAATGTAACTTTGAACAAATGGATATATGATTATACAGAACGACCTCGAAGACCTTCGAAAATTTGCACAACAGTGACACCGGCCTATAGTTTTCTACCTCAGACTTTATCCCGCTTTTAAATATTAGGCATATTCTAGCTTCTTTCCATAGTTTAGGATATTTCCCCGTCTATGTTAAAATTCTGAAACAATTCTTAATTAAAAAGGAGGGTATGTTGCCTAGACCCGATGTCATCTTATTTTTAAGTTTACCAGCAGCCACACTAATTTGTTATTCACAAAATGCTAACATCATGAACAGAAGCGTGCTTGAGTTTGAGTTAATACAACTAACGATATTTGATTTGTAGTTTT